CGATCTCACTTGAAAGTCGGTCAACGGGTGCCCAGCTCCCGCCCTTCTTCCTCTGAGCGCAGCCTGCTCCATGCACTCCAGTTATAGTGGCGGGGGCGCGCCGGGCCTCCGGGGGCGCGCATTAAAGAGACACGCTGTGGCCGCTTTCTCCTTGCTCCCCAGCGACCGCTCAAGGGGAGGCGTGGCTTTGGCGCAACCCGTTGGGAAGGGTAGGGGGTTGTGATTCCCACCCGCGCTGCTCTGTGCGCCTTCTAGGCTGAAAGCTCCCAGCTACCTTGAAACAGGTAAGGATTTGAGGCTGGGACAGAAGGGACCTATGTTTGTGTCTCAGTCTATTGCATTTTTGCCTTTGAGCAAAGCACTACTCTTCCTCGGTCTCAGCTTCCTTGTCGGTAGAATGGGTATCAGTCCTTTCTCTAACCACCTCACCGGACAATGGATGAGGTGGGCGGTCTTGAATGTGGAAGAAGTTTGTGAGCTGCAGAGTCAAGCCCGCTGGCTCATGTGCACATATATGTCAGTGCACGTGTATGTGTGTGAGTTGGGGGCCATCACCACCTCTCTGCATATTTCTGGGTCAAAGCCCCTCTCAAGTTGCCTACTTTAGGCTTCCTCCAGCGGGTAACTCCTAATGCCAAGTCAGGGTCTGAGGAAGTTGGAGACACAAACTGGCCAGAGAGAGTTGCATGGGACTGAGTTTGGACATGAGTTCCATTGAGAATGGCCCAAGATGTTTCTGAAGCCATGAGAGTCTGGGATGATTGAATGTGGGCTTGTCATACCCAGAGGATGTTGAGTGAAACTGTGTGTAACTGACACAGTGTGGACCGTGTGCTATCATCACACTAACATGCATAGGCTATGGGTTTATGTGTTACCATTGTAGGCACTGGCTGGCTTTCAAGCACGTTCCAGTCTCCGCTGTCACTCCAACTTTCTATCCCCCAATACCCAACCCTCCCCTCCTGAGGAACAGGGTCAAAGATTAAAGAAAGGGAAATGAGAGGAATACTAAGGGGAATAGGAATTAAGAAAGCAGACGGAAGATGTTTTTAAAAAGCAAGAAGATGCTTAGACCAGGGCAGAGTAGAAATAATCACAGCAAACACTTATTAGTGTGCCAGACTTTTTGCTAAGTACTTGATGAATATTGAGTTATTTAACCCTCACAACAGCCCTGTGAGATAGATACCCTTACCAGCCCCATCCTTAGGCTAGAAAAGTGAGGCACAGAGAGTTGACATGATTTGTCCATGGTCAAGCAGCTAGTTAAGCAGCAGAGCTGGGGCAGTCTGCTGCTGGCCCCTGTCCATGCTCAGAATTACTATTCTGTGTTGCCTTAAACTCAGGTGCCTGTAATTTAGTCCTGATTCCAATAAACTGTGTGATCCTAGGCAAGCCCCTTTTCCTCTCTGACCTCAGTTTCTGCAACTTCAACAACAATAAAAAAGTAGGGGCAGGAAGAGAGGACTAGATGTTTTCTTAAGCCCCTTTCTAGTGAAGTGGAAGATGAGAAAGTAAAGGTAAAACTACTGAGCTAGATTAGAGGAGAAAGGGAGGTAAAGGCAACACCATTGAGCCAGGGAACGTATATGGGGGAGACCTGAGAGGAGGCATCCCAGAAGGCACAAGTCAGGTGTACAGCTTAGGTATGGGTCATCTCACCCTGCGGGCATTTTGGGGAAAGGAGGAGGCTAAAAACAGCCAAGGATTCATCACTAAGAACTTTCCAGAGGCGGGGAGAGTACAGCTCAGTGGTAGAGTGAGTGCTTAACATGCAGGAGGTCCTAGGTTTGATCCCCAGTAACTCCATTAAAAAAAAAAAGTAATCCCCCCCAAATAAAAGAATTTTCCAAAGGCTGGAACCACCTGCTGAAGTGTTAGATGAACCAGAATTGGGTAGCTCTACAATCTTCATGCCCAGGACAGGTCAGAGGTTGGGAGTATGTGCATGTACTTATATGGGTGGGTACATGAATCCTCTCTTCCCCTCACCCTCAACTTCATGCCCAGGACATGAGCAGTCAGACTCCAGGGCAGGTGTGTGTGTCAGTGCGTGCATGCAGATTGGTGGACCCCTTTGGGAGAAGTCCCGGGGCGAGGAGGCTGATGATGCCTGTGCTAGCTCTGGGGATCCCCTGCTCTCTCCAGTAGGCTTGGGAAGGCCAGAACCGGGGTGGGGGCGCTGCCTGTCCAGTGGCTTCCTTGCATTCCCTCACCTACTTCCCTGCAGCTTGACACCCCCTTCTTCCTTCACTTTCCTCCTCTGACCATTTCTCTGTCTTCTTTTCTATCTCCTCTCTTTTCACCCACATCCTTAATGTCAAGTTAGTCATTCTCAGAGTTGAAGCTTCTGCCCTGTCTTCCCATGTACACTCTTGACGAGTGAGTTCACCCCCTCTCAAGAGTTTAATGACTACCTGTCTGCTGTTATCTCCCGACCTTGTTATCTCCAGTCTGTATCTCTCACTAGAAATCCAGACCCAAAGATGCAATTGCCAGCTGGATATTTCCTCCAGGCACCTTGTTGCAGCCATCTGAGCCTTTCCAAGTCCCAGACCGAACTTGCCATCTCCTCCACCTTGACCACCAACCCCAATCTACTTCTCCTATGTCCTGTGGTTCTGTAAATGGCACCACCATCCTTCAGATTAAAAAGAGTCATCCCAGGCTCTGACGTTTTCCTCATCCCCATAAGCTAATCCTCATAGAATGTCATCATTTCTAATCCTTAAGCATCTCTCTCCATCTTTTGTCAGCACCTTAAGCTACTATATACTCTTTCTCACAGCCCAGTAGTTCTCAAAGTGTGGTCCCTGGACCAGCATCACCTACAACATCTGGGAATATGTTAGAAATGTCAGTTCCTGGACCCTACCCCAGCCCTTCTGTGTGTGGGGCTCAGCCACAAGCTTGTACGTGACTCAGAAGCACAGTAAAGTCTGAGAACCACTGATTAGACCCTTGCAACAGCCCCTCAACTCGTCTCCTGCCTTCATTCATATCTCTTCTGATCCAATTCCAATTCTGTTCAATAACAGTAGTGGCTGGACCATGTTCCCTCCTGAATGAAATTTCCCCTGGGGCTCCCTGTGGCCCATCTTTAGGGAAAAAATGTTTAAACACTCTAACCAGTATTCCAGGCTCTTCACAGCTGCAATTAAATTTCCTTTCCTGCTTCATGAAGCAGTTCACAAGAAGAAGATGAAAGGAGAAAGAGAAAATGTGTCTAGCACTGGGCTTGGAACATGGCAGGTGTTCAGTAAATGCTTATTAAATAAATGATAAATGAATGAATGGATGGATTTATGAATCCCTCAGCCTATTCAGGTATACTTTAGGAAGCCTCCATGCGAACATGATCCTGGGGAAGTCATTTGATAAATGAGTGATTTTGCTTATGGCTCCTGGGGCGAGGGATGGCCTCCATGGTCTGCTGCTGCTTTGGGGGCTCCTCAGAACTTCAGGGTCCTATGGCTTCAGACTCTGTTGCCCTTCTCTTTCAGGGCCAAGGGACTCCTCACTTTCTGAGGGATGGAGGTGGGCATTGCTGATTGCCTGTTTTCTGGAACACATGCACTCATGTGGAGGCCTGGAATGTGCACAGGAGTACGCACACAGACACTCTTGGGCACACAACACACAACACACACAGAGACACTCATGGGAAACACATATACACATGAAGACACAGGACATATATTGACACATAGAGGCACATGTTCAAACATACATGGACTCCCCTTTGGCCCACTTGCCGTATTGCTCTTCTCCCAGGCTCAAATTTTCTCTTTCTTTTCAAAAAGTGAGCTTGCATTTCAACTTAATGTGAAGAAAAAACTCAAGCCTGCCTCCTTTATTGTTGACACAGCCACCCTTCTCCTAGCCTTTGACGACCTTCTGCTCTGGACCTGGCCGGGTTTTTGCTGGGTGGGGGAAATCTGGCACAAGAAGATGCTGAGGCGCCACCTCGTGGTTACATCTCACAACCATTCTCTCACTGGTGAATTACCTGAGGCTTGGCAGGTCTCACCAAGCTAGCCTAGCCCTCTCCTCATTCCAGAGCCCAGGACGCTCTGACCATCCCTCAACAAATTACAGCACTCAGTCTGCTGTGTATTTTGAGGCTTTCTGAAAGATTTGGCTTTCTCACCGCACGAGGGAGAGTACTGAGAGCAGGGACCAGGGGTAAGTTGCCATTTGCTTTGGGGCTCTTCTCTTCTCTTTACACTTCCCCAGGTGACCTCAGTCACTCCCATGACTTTTAGGACCCTCTCTACTGACAGCTCCTAAATCTGTCACTTGCCCAGACCTCTCTGAGCTCCAAACTGCAGAGAGTAAATGCCTCATGGAGACAAGCTGCACAAATTCACCATTTAACAAAATGAGCTTATATTTTGCACAAAACTGTTTCTCTCTGTGTTCCCTGTGACAGTGAATGGCCCCGTTATCCACTCAGTGGCCTAGATCGGGAATCTGGGAGTCACCTTTCGTTCTCTGTCCCTCTTCATTCTAATCAATCACCAAGACCTATTAACTAACCCCTACCTATACTTCTTCCACCCTCACTGCCACTGGCTTAGTTCAGACTTACTGCCTCCTGAGCTCCCCGCCTCAGTTGCCCCTTTTGCAGCCAAAGTCGTCTTTGTAAAATGCATACTGAATCACATTCAGTCTGCTCAAAAATCTACAGCCTCAGCCTGATCCCACATCTAAGCTTCTTAGCCCGCCACAGCAGGACTTCTAAGATCTGGTCCATGTCCACTGGTCCCACCTCATCTTCCAGCACTCCCCAGTTCACACTCCAACTGTAGTAGTAATGACCTACTTACAGTTCCCAAGCTTGCATGCCTTTATACCTGCTGTTCCTCTGCTTGTCTACCTGGCTAGTCCCTCCTCCCTTCAGGTCTCTGAACACACTTCCTCTGAGTTTTCCGGGACTTATTCAGCCAGGCTGAGGGGCTCTTATGCTCCAACCACACTTCATTCAGACCCCTACACAGAAGCAACTGCTTACATCTTTAGGAGTTGTCCGTTGCCTTGTCTGTTTCCCCTCTAGATTTTAAGCTGCTTGACAGGCAGGGTCAGTCTTTTCATATTTTTCAGGGATTTCAGGAAATCCATGCCAAGGACAAGACTTACAGTACATCCAATAGACTAATGAACATTCCTTTCCGTCTATGCACAGCCAGCCACAGGTAGGAACTTGGGACATGTGCAGCGAATGCTTTTAAGCTTGAGGGCCTAGGTGGAGAAGAGTCTGCAGTGTGGGCCTGGTCTGGCTCAAAGCTGACAGCTTTGGTTCAGGCCTGGTGAAGCAGTGGGTGCTCGTGCGTTGTCTCTGCTGAAGCTTTCAGACCCTTCCCCTTCTCACTTGGCATAGAACAGAGGTGAAGAGCTGGTTGCCTGAAAGTCACATTTGGCCTGCAGATGTTCTGTTGGGGTTGCAGTGATTTAATTTAAAAAATTATCAACATTCAAAATCAGGTTTCACATAAAAATTAGGATTTCTGACTTTCTCTTTAAAAATTGGAGGATGTGACAGTGATACTTGGCAACCACCTGCTGATGTGGAAGGGCAGCACTTCATTTGCATGGGAAAGCATGAGCCCCATGAGCCCCACCAGATTAACATCTGAGTCTGCTGGGCAAGAGGAGAAGGATATAGCTCAAGTGGTAGAGCGCGTGCTCAGCACCCACGAGGTCAGGGGTTCAAACCCCAGCACCTTCTCCAAGGAAATCAGTGAAGAAACCTAATTATCTCCCCCTCATAAAAACAAACAATACAAAACACGAGTCTGCAACCTGTTCTGGCACTGAAAGGTGTGGGCTAAGGAGTCAGATGGCCTGTGTCAAGTGTTGGCTTTGGCACTTACTAGCTCCAACACCTTGAGCAAATCACCTACCCATGCCTGCAGAATTGGTATGATGCCTGCTTCATCACATTCTTTTCAGGGTAGAATGGGACGACATTTGAGAAGTGTGTTTAGCAGATGGTAGTTGTGAGCTGCTGGGGCCTGGAAGGAAGAAGGTGCAGGACAGACCACACAAGAGCCATGTTGTCACCAATGAACATTTATTGAGTGTCCACATGTGCACAGCTTTGAACTTGGTGATCACAGAACGCACTGGGGGGAGGGAGGGGGAAGGAAGAGGGAAGGGAAGCAAGGAATCGGGTTTGGGGGGTCCCCTGGGTTCCTAAGAAAGGTAGTCCCTGCTGGAGCCGCCAGTCGCGTCTCTCTACAGAGGAGTCAAAAGCAGGGATGGGAGTTAAAGCCAGGCACCACGATGGCGATGGGGTGCAATCACTAGGGAAACATGCGGATTCTGGGAAGCGTCCCTCTGGTTCCTGGCTCCAGCCAGGCCAGATGGCACTGGGGGACAGGGACCAGATGCTCAGGTGTCCAAGCAGGGATAAGGACAGGCAAAATAAATAACTCCCCAACCCCCATTGTCACTCTGCTGCAACACGACACAAAAGCTTAGAGACCAGGGCCCCAGGGCTCCTGGGTCCCCTCAAGGAAGCTCAGGTGGAAGGAGGTTTCCCAACCCCCCACCAGGCCTGTATGCCTCAGGTCTCCCTGGAAGGCTGGGGCAGTTCAGACCCTGGGTCACTGGAGTTGAGAGGAAGAACTGCGATGTCAATGGCCTGAGCCTGCTCTCTGCCCAAGGGGGCCAAGGGCAAGAACCAAACGGCCAACTTAAAGGACGTGGACCTGGAAGGCCCAAGGGGCACCACAGCCTAGGGAAGCCCACGCCCTGGCCGGCAGGGCACATGGGCTGAGGCAGCCGGCTCCTGCCAGCCCCGTCCCACGTGGGGTCCTCCCTCCTGTGAGGGAGCCAGACATTGGGCACAATGACACCTACTGCCCCCCACCCTGGGGACTGCTCCAACCTCCCCCTGGCCTGGTGGGGACAGCCACGCTGATTTCCAAGCCAATCCCTGCCCCTGAGCGGGCCCAGGGGGGCGTGACGCAGTTCCTACACTTGAAGGGTGGGCACCATGCCCTCACCCTTGGAAAAGCCAGAAAGCTGGGGTGTTTGGGGGGGAGTTCAGGGACGGGGTCCAATTTGGGGGCTTCAGGGAAGATGCCTCCTCCCTCCTTCCCTTCCCGCCTGCCCCCGGGTCTGTCCCCAGTGGGTGCCCCCTCAGGGCTCTGCCAGGCATTGCTCCAGGGCAGCCATGCGGTAGTGGCTGGCTGTCTCCTCGCCCGCCTGCAGCCTCATGGCCTCCCGGCACAGCCGGTTGGCCCGAGCCAACTCAACCAGGACACCCTGATAGGCGGCTACCATCTCAGGCTTGACGGAGTTGGGGCTGACACTGCCCAGCAGCTGAAGCAGCTCCTGCGGCCAGCGGGAACGCAGGGCGGCAGGGGCCAGCCAGGGCAGCAGGGGCACGCAGCCTGTGAAGGCCTGCATGCCCAGGAACCAGAGCTCCTGCAGATCAGCCCAGATGCCCTCATAGTCAGGGGACAGGGCTAGCACTGCCTGGTCTGAGCCAGGCGTGGCCCGTGCCACGTGGGATTGCGACAGGAAGAGGATGGCGGCTGCGAAGAAACCGCGGGACGCTGGTGTTCCCTGAAGAGCTGGAAGGCAAGGAGGGAGGGGGGCATGAACCAGAGGGGCCAGCTGCCTCGCCAGACCCTTCCTTTCCCTTCCTGGTGGGCACACTCAGGAGCTGAAGCATAGCCCAGAATCAGCCTGCCTGGGTTCAAACCCTACCTCTGACTTCACTGTGTGACTTTGGGTCACTTTTCTGGGTACTCGTTTCTTCAACTTGTAAAACGGGGCCAAGAGTGCTAATCTTAGAATTCTGTCATGAGAATGAAATGTAATAATCTTGGAACACTCAACCTCGTGGTCGGACCCTCTTATAGTCTGAGTAGTGAGGGGGGAGCCTCTGCCAGGCCGAGACCTTTACAGGCTGAGGAGGGGCCAGCAATTTGATTCTTAGGCCAGAAGAGGGTGCCAGGGGGGGCCGTGGGCCGGCGCCCAGGATTGGCTCACCCGCCTGCAGGGGTTCGCCTCTGCACTGCAGAGGCTCTCCCCTCTAGAGGCTGTCAGGCTAACCTGGTGGCATCTGTGGGTGAACCAGCACTGGGGCTCTGCTCAGGGGCTGTGGAGATGCAGCTTGGACTGAGGGAGCACGGGGGGCTAGAGAGCAGAGCAGCTCCTGGTCCACCAGGACATGCTCCCCTTCCTGCTGGGACCCACCCCCTCCCCCGCTTCCCGGCCACAGGGAACAGAGGCAACTGAGGGTACGGGCTTGTTACACCCTGTTCCCAGGCATCTGCGCAGCTCCTCCAACCTGACAGATGGGGCACAGGGAACAGGCGGGGACAGAGGGACCCAAGCAGACACCCACGGCCAAAGTGGGAGACACAGAGGGCTGGCAGGGGCTGGAGCGGATGCCCCTCCCCCCCCAACATGCAGCCAGAGTGAGGTGGGTGGGGGAGAAGGTAGGTGCCGAGGAGCAAGGAAGCCTGTCACAAGGGAGGTGAGGTGCCAAGCAGAGAAAAACCTCAATGGAGAGAAGTCATGTTTTTGACTCAAAGCCTGGGTGGGGGCGGCTTCACCTTGAAAACACAGAATTCAGATTCCTCGGGCTGCTGGGGATTCCAGGTGCCTATGCCTGTGCCTCTGAGCAGGCCTGTGCTTACACCCACCAGATCTTGCCTTAAAAGTCTTCAGAAGGAAGAGAATGTTATCATTTTGGGAAGGAGGGTGGGGTGGGGCGGGGCGGGGGATGGAGACACACTTCGGAGATTTCCTCTTGATTAGAAAATTCTGTAAAACCATTTTCTGAAAATGGTGACTTATGCCCAGACCACAGCAGGCCCACCACAGTCTTCTGCCTTTATCTGTTAGGACTGGGTCCCCAGGGCTTACCTGGAGAGGTGCTAAGGAGCCGGGCCATGAGGAGGCCCAGGGTGGCCACGTTGGCAGCCAGGAGCAGCCTCCCCTGCTGCTGTACCAGTGCAGGCAGCGACGCCATCAGGGTGTTCATTAGAGACGTGAAGCAGGCATCTCGCCTGGGGAGAAAGAGAGGGAAAGATGGGAGATGGGGGATTAGTAGAGCCCAACCAACCCCAGGGAAAACCTGGGATCCTGGGCTCCCAGCTTCACCAGGCCAGGGTTTGGCAAGAAATTCAGTGGTAGCAGGGTGAACAGTTAACTCTGGGCCCTATTTGTAGCACCTGGGGGTAAGACTGGGTTATTGCTGGAGCAGGTGGACATACATGCCCAAAGGGGTTCCAGAGATGCCAAACCCTTGTATGGGGTGGCTCTCTCCATTCTGAGACCCTTTCATTTTAGCACTCACAGGAACCCATGGGCACAGGGAAGCAGAGTAGGAGGTTGAGATTTGGGGCAAGTTTGAGCAGGCCCTCTGCTTCCTGCAACCTTCTCCCTGGCCTCACTTGATCAGCCCCGGTGCAGTGACCACGAGGTTGAGGAAGATGTGACAGCAGGTCTGCAGGCCGATCTCCACGCTGTCGGGCAGCACTGAGGTGTCATGGCCAGGGGATGTGAGTTCCCACTGCTGCAGGAAATACTTGCACAGTAGTGAGGGGGCCCCCTCCTTGATCAGGATCTCCCGGGGCCCATCTTCGACTGTCAGGTGACACCAGCCGGGTAGAAGGAGCCTGGGGGTGTAGAAGGGACAGACGTTGAGGGGAGAGATGAAGGCACAGGATTCCCTTTGGGGTGGGTGCCCCATCTAAGAGAAATGGAAGTCGGGGGAAGGAGAACACATCTTTGTAGGCACTGCAGAAAGAGCACAAGCTTCAGAGCTGCACGGGCCTGGGTCACACTTGGGCTCTGCCAGCCAGTGTGAGTGTGGGCAAGTTACTTCAACCTCCTGGAGCCTGTTTCCTCATCCTGAAGGCACGGATGAGACTTCTGTCCTAGATTTGCTGTGTGGACCAAATGAGATCATTTTGGTAAAGGGCATAGTAAAAAAGCCTGGCAGGCAGGGGATGCTCAACAAGCAGAAGTTCTCTCTCTACAGAGTAATCTGGGCTTGGCAAGTGAGACAAGGCAGCCAGGTGTCCGGTGGGAAGCAGCCCCCCCGCTCCCCCAACAAACAGAAATAATATTAAGTCTCATGCCCCAGTCGGGAAACCCAGCACAGCCCATTTTGCGGGGAGAGGAGGTGTCCCTGTGTTACACTCTCCTTTAGAACAGTCTGGCTGAACAGACCATAACTGCAAACTCACCGGAGAGCGTCCCCTGGCCAGGTGGGCCCTGGGGTGGTGGGGGAGATGGCCAGGGTGGCCACCTGCTGGGAGAGGTCATTGGCCTCCTCAGCCTCCTCGTAGAGGGTCTTGGCATAGCGCACGAGGAAGGGCAGCAGCTGGCAGACCTCCTTGCGCAGGGATGAGGTCTCCTCGGCCAGCCAGGCACCCAGGATCCGCACAGAAGCAAACACAAAAGGCTCCTTCTGCTTCTCCTGCCCCACCTGTTGCCAAAGGACCCCTTGAGATGGAGCAGGACCAGAGACCCTCCCCTGCCTGGTCGCCATGCCAGCCAGCCTAGAAATAACAAAACTAGAAGGGAATACTGGCCTGTGAGCCCTTCAAAGGTAGGCCTTGAGCACCCAGCACCCAGCACCTGGTAGGGACACACTCGAAGGGTCTGAGCATGGAGCAGGCCCTCAGGGCCTGCCTGCTGAGCAAGCTGGACTTCATACAACATGCCCCTGCACTCTCTGGGACTCAAGTCACCTCCACCTGTCCCTCACCTCTTAAGTATCTCAAGGTTAGAAGGAAACTCACAGATCCAAAGCTAAGTAAACACTTCCTTAACAGTGGCTCTGACCTCGAGTGGGAGGCCTGGATGCTGGCTACTAGGTAAATACCCTCAGTGGTGGGAGAGAAGCCCCCTTTCTGGCTAAATCAGAAAGAATGAGACAATGGGACCTTGGCATGGTGGGTGGGAAATATGGCTGGTGAATTCAGAGACCAGAGTTCTGAGTGAACCCCTGTGGGACAGAGAGCTGGATTCCCAGACAGGGAGGGAGGAGGGGATGTTGGGGAGGACAGGGAGGCAATCAAATGGAGTTAGCTGAACCTCTACAGAGGCCAGGAACCAGGCTGCCCTGGTCCTTCTCCCTGCACAGTTACAAGTTTGTTGTGTATGTGTGTAAAACAATGCTATAGATTGAGCAGAACAGACTGCTCCAATTTTGTGTGTGTGGACTGGGGGGAGGGTTGTGAGTGGGAGGTTACTGTGTTGTGTGTGCGCGTGTGTGTACTGTGATATGAGTGCACATATGGTGTGTGGTATGGTGCTTGTGTGGAGGCTCAGGGAGGGAGAGAGAGGGGGGCTTGGCCACACACTACTCCCTGGAGTGCTGCAGGATCAGCCTTTAGTAGGTGCGTCTTCACTGCTTCCCCTTTACACCCAGGTGCAGGGAATTCACTCCCCGCTTTCCCTTGCCTTCTGGCTCGTCCCCACACTGAGCCCCCTCTGTGGGCCACTGCATCCTCACCTGCTGCAGGTAGTGGATGACAGACCCGATGGCCTCCTTCATGACACTCACGAGCTGCACCTTCTGTGGCTCCTTAAGCAGTGACTGCTCACAGCGGGTGCATTCCTGGATCCCCAACTCCATGAGGGCATAGCAGGCGGTCACCACATCCTCTTTCACCTCTGTGCCTGTCTCCTCCAGTGCCAGCCGCACCTCCACGCATGCCAGGTTCACCAGCAGGGCCAGGAACTTGCTCCCGGAGTTGCCCGCTGGGATCCAGTCGGAGCCGCAGGCGTGCGCCAGGCGAGCTGCCAGCTTCAGTGCGGGGTTGCGCTGCCAGGAGCTCAGCTTGCTGCCTAGGATGCGTGCCAGCCCGGCCTGCAGATCCCGGAGGCATTCCGAGGGCACGGTTGTCGGGGGCAGAAAGAGGGGCAGCAGCTGGCAGAGCTCAAACTTGCTGGCATCCTCAGCTTTCTGGAAATCTTCACTGAGGCCCCGCAAAACAGCCAGCAGGTCGGGCTCGGCCTCCTTCCAGCACTGTGTCTCGGCAGCAGCCAGCAGCCCCACTAGGAGTGCCAGGGCCTGGTCAAAGCCATAGCCGTGCCCCAGGTATGCCTGACACAGGGCAGACACGGTGCCTCCGGCAATGAGGTGTCGGGGCCCACGGGGTGTGCCTGCCACAGCTGTCAGGCACTGGTAGGTGTCATCGATCATGGAACGGCGGGCAGCATCATCAGGGTCCCCCCGGGCTGTGAGGAAGGTGCTAAGGATGGGGATCTTGTTCAGGACCTGGGGATGGGCGGCTAGTTCAGGGTCGCTGCAGAAGCAGGCCAGCAGGGCCACGCCCAGGGCCCGGAGAACGTGGTCGGGGCAGCCATCTGGCGCCTCCTTGGAGGTCAGGAGACGATTGGGGAAGGTGAAGCCGACGGCATCAAAGATCCGCCGCCGAGTTTTGGCATCGATGTCACCTGCTTTGACTGCCTTGGTCACCTAAGGGAGGTATGTGCCATCAGTGGGATGAAAGGAAGAGGTGTCAAAGACTGTCTCCTGCACCCTGGGGGTTGACCATTAGCAGGATTAGGGTTATGTAACAGGACTCACTCTGGGATCAGGAAGCGTCTCAGATGTCACTTCATCCAGCTCCTTCCTTCTCCTCAGAGATAGAAATGTGTGACCCCTGGGATCCCTCATCTACGATAAACCCTGTGGAAGGGAGGTCCAGTCCTCCTCTACTACTCGTTCTGCCGTTTCAGCACCTGGTCAGTTGGGAAGTTCCTCCTGATGTCTATGCTAGATGCCCACAACCTGAGCTGGAAGAGGCTTACAACTCAGTTTTTAAAATCTTCCAAGGATTTAGGGTCCCTCCTTAACTGTATCTCCAGAGAAGCCTCTGATCCATTCCCGCCACCTTCTCAGGGGAAATGGCTCCTGTGTCTCGCCGCTCAGCCTGTCAAAACATTTCCCCTTACATTTCACCTAAACACCTCCTCTGCTGCAGTGTGAGCCCTTGACTCTGGAGCCTTCTCCCTGTTGCCATGGCAAACAAGCAGCGGCTGTACTCCCTCCTCCCTTCACCCCCCCCATCAACCCCCCCTTCCCAGCAATGCAGCTCCTGTTCTGCTGTCCCCAGCTTGGGTTCCTCCAATAGGGCTAAGCCCTGAACCAGATCCTTTACCCTCAACCTACATATTGCGATCCTGGCCATCCCCTAGGACCCTTTCCCAGTCACTTCCAGTCCTGCAACTCTCTCCACCCCCAAAACAATCGTCCCCAGCCCTCAAGTACTCTGCACTAGTTACTACCTGCTGCTGTTACCCTGTGAGTCAGCCGCCATCTGCTCTGGGACGCCCCAGAGAGCAGACCCAGGCAGCCTCTTCCAAAGCTCCTAGGGCCATAAGCCTTATTCACCCCCATTCTCCCCTTTGCTTCCCTCCTCAGGGGAGCAAAAATGAGTCCACAGGTAGGCACCTGGGGCCTTCTTTGGTGTCTCCAGGGTTATCAGCACCATCTATGTATCCTAGTGGATTTCTGACCCCATTCCTAGGGGGCCCAACCACCCAGCCCTTCCCACTCCCAATTTTCAGTCAGTTCCTTACTAGCAGCAGGGCTGCAAACTGCTCGCTGTCATTCTTGGCCTCACGGAGGGCTCCCAGGTAGCGTTCCAGGGTGGGGTTTCGGCCCTCTGCTTGGTTCAGAGCTGGCTCGCAATCCGAGGCCATGATGCCCGCCTTGCCCAACTGTGAACACAAGAGGGACTGAGCATCCCTCTGCAGAGGAGGGGTGGGGGTGGGAGTGGAGGATGGAGGGAGGGATTAGCACAGAGGGAGGGGAGGATCAGGAGGGATGGACTCCTCGGGACTGACCTCTCTTGGGGGAGTCCCTTTAAGGGGCTGGACCCTCAAGTCCTTAGGGATAAAGAAGGGACCCTGGTCCAAGGTCACCTCCAGAAAGCGGGAAAGAAGGACCATGCATCCTGCTGCTCAACTGGACAGCTCTCCTCACCAATCTCCTGGGGGTGGGAGGGGGCTGGCCCACCGCTCAGATGCCCCCTGGCACCAGAGGCCAGGTTTTGTCTCCCTCCACCAGGCATACAGGGAGGAAGGGAGTGGTGAGGACAGACAGGGAGGGATGGAGACATACACGGGTGAAGTTCGATTATCCGGACTCAGGCTAACATGAGGGAAAAGGGCATTCTAGGTTTCCTTTCCCCTCCCTTCTTCAGAAGAGGCAGGAGGCAAGCTTCAGCATAAGTGAGGAAGCAGGGTACTAACCAGGGAAGGCTCTGATACCCCTCTGGGGACCCCACCCCTCCAGCCAGGGCTCTCAGTCGCCCCCGCAGGCTCTTTGCCTCCTCTCCTTTCCCTCCCTCGGGCAGAAGCTGCAGCAGCAACAGCAGCAGAAGCAGCAGCAGAATTAACCCCTTGCACTCCCTCTTCTCGCCCTCCCCGCCTGGCTACCAGCCTGTGGGTGCCGGCAGGGTCTGGAGAAGCAAGAAGGGGTCCCGGGTAGCTCCCAGAACAACGGAGAATCCAAAAGCCGGATAATCGAAGCGGGGCTGCTGAGATGGGAAGATGAGAAAGGGAGAAGGGTTCTTGGCGGTCACCACCTGTCCCGCCGCAGCCAGGTCACAACACGACATTGATGAAGTCACGACAGGGCAGCGATGAGATCACACTTCACGATGGCGCGGTGATGTCACGGAGAGATCAGGGCAAAATCACGACATGGAACAGCCCCCAAAGATGACAGGGCAAATTTTAAAAAAGATATAGCTATATATTGAGAAGGGCTGTGACAAAATGGAGTCTCGACAGGGCACGATGATATCGCGATATGGCGAGATGGAGTCGCGATAGGGTCCCGGGGTGTGTCGGCATCGATCAGCACCGGCTCGGAGTGGCCCCGGCTGGGATGTAGGGGGGGTGCCTGAAGGGGGCTGAGCTCACCAGGCTGCGGCCCCGAGCAGCGAAGTCTTCTCCAAACGCGATGCTCCTGAGCCTGGGGCCGCTGCTCACGCCGCGTTGCCCACTCCCGGCTCCGGGCAGCTGCAGCTCCACCCCCACCCCCGCAGCGATCTCGACCAATCGGCGGTGGCCTCACTCCAGGCTCTGGCCAATGGTACGGCTGGGCGCTAAGCCGTAGGGTATGCTGCCGTTGCCGCCATTTTGCTTGTGGGTATTGCCCGAGTCTGGGGCCTGGGGTTCGCGGCGGGCGGGTGAAGGTGCAGACCGCCTCTGGAGAGCGGGAGGCGACAGCCTGGGGACTCAGGTTCCTTCGCTCGTGCGTAGTTCTACCCTCCCCAGCACTGCCCCTCCTCCCCCTCGGGCTCGCGGCTGGAATCGAGCTTCCGGTGCGGGGGGTAGCAGGAGAGATTGCTTAGCGTGAAGAGTGTGTTTCCGGGTTGAGCCCTGGGAGGTGGGAGGGGGCGGTGTTTCCGGCCGCCGTTGCTGTTCTGGGAGGCTGAGGCGAGAGGGAGCTTGCCGGGTGGGGAGCCGCACTCCCGTCTTTCTTTTCCTCCTCCTCAGGGTGAGGGGAGCGAAGGTTGGGGCTCCGACCCCATGGACCGGGAGGAGGCGGAGGCCGCCGAGAGCCGGGGCCCCGCCGTGTGGCCCTGAGCCCCGGTAGGTGGCCGGGGGCGGCTGGCTGCCTGCCAGGCCGAGGACCACGAGCCCAGGGGAGGGGCAAGCGGTACGGGCGACTTCTGGGGGTGCGCTAGCCGGGTGCAGGGGGCCCAGAGGTGGCGCTCCTGGCCCGGCTTGGGTAGCCAACTGCTTCTGGCTTTGCAGGTGCGGAGCTGGAGTTCCAGGCTGAACCCCGCATCTTTTGGGCCTGGCCTGGTCATGCGGCTCCCTCCATCCCTTGCTGACTGACTGACAGACCGGGCTCTAGGCGTGCTGACCTCCTTCCTCCCTCGCCCTTAGCTGCTGACTCTAGTGTTTGTTCTCCCTACCAAGACAAAGTTGATGCAGAATAAGGGGGGCGGGGCTGAGCTCTACTTGTAAATTATAACGCGAAACGTGCCTTATTCGGGACTTGGAAAATTTTGTCCCACAGAGGGGTCCTGTGGTGGCTACAGTGAGCACAAAGGTGAAATGAAGGAAGTCAAGAGAGAAGGAGACCTAACGTGGGATTCCAGGAAAGCTTTGCTTTTTCTCTCCTCGTGGTGGTTATGCCCACCCGACAATTGATGCAGTTAGTGAAGAGCATTAGCTGACTCTCCTTGTGCTTTCTTATCTGATTAACAGACTGGAAGCTAGGAACAAATTAGAAAAACGACCTCCCAGAACAATCTGTTCATTTTCCCAGCTATTTGGAAAACAATGTCTGCAAATATAAGCAAAGCTATTCATGGCAGTCTGTTCTGAAACTTTCCCAAATATGAGACTTTTGAAAGAGCTTTATTCTTGATTACTCATACCAGCTGAATTCGCTGTTTCAGACGTGCTCTATCGTTGTTCAAACATATCTTATCGCTGGGTACATAAATGGAGTTCACGTATGTAGCTGACAAACTGAACTATGATACATCCCCCATCAACCTGAAGTATTAAGTAAACATTACCCCCTGCTCTGTGGGAACAGCTGCTGCAACAGAGAGTGCTTTTATTTCGAGTGTACTTGTAACGCCCTAAATGCCAGAACTATTGCAAGCTTTTTAGATTTTCATTTGTCAAGTATTGTGGGGGTGTGTGTTCTCTCCCTGGGCTGTTTCCCTTTGATTATGTTACAAACCATTTGGATCTTGGTGATGTGTTGTTGTTCCTGCCTCTGGTCAGCAAGCCTTTGACTGGACCCTAGCAGTGATTTGTGCCTTTAGGCAATTGTAGGTTTCAGAGGAATGACTGGTTGTGAGTTCACGTGAAAATAACTCTGCTTCTCTCTCTTGCATGGTTTGTGAGACATTGCACTTCTAATCAGCTTGCTAACCCAGTGGTGTTTATTACTCCCATTTTCAAAACCTATTCATTTCTTTTATGCTTCTGTCGCCCACCTGCCATGCTATTGATGACAGGTGTTGAGTCACCTTGAGTTTAAAATCCTTTTGTGGTAGGCAGAAGTGTGTTGGGTAAGATTCATACACACACACACACACACACACACACACACACACTCTCACACTCACCTCTTCCATCTTGGGAGGCTAGAAAAGTTGCCGGATATACTTTCTAACTTAGGCTCCATTTCATAATCTCTTGAACATGTTTCTGGCCCACATACCTCTTTTTTGCCTCCTGATCCCTAACATACAAACTACAAACCACTAGAAATAGGAATGGATGGAAGTGAATGAGAAAGATGAAGTCCTTCAGATGCTTGAGGCTCAGTGAAAAGTTTTTCTTGGGTGGACTGTACCTTAGCTTTGCAGCTCTGTGTGCGGGTCTGTTTCCTGGTATTAGTCAGTATTGCTCTCCAACCCATACAATGCTGGCCGGGGGTTGTGAGTTTATGCCGTTTGCCAGACGTTGATGACAGGTGCATATTTAGGACAGAAGATAAATGAATTGCTTCTTCAGAAGCAACCTTCGTAATGTTGCCAAGATTTATGTAATAATTTATACAATATAGGAAAGTTGTATAAGAGAGAAAAACTGATGGAAAATCATTTTCTCTTCTGGAAGGGACCTAAATCATTCAGCACCTAGATTCTAGAGTAGCCAACACAATGCCTGGTACATAATAGGAGCTGTGTAAATATTTGTTGAATGGATATATGAATTTAAGTCAGGAATTGCAAATGACTCTAAGGATCAAGGAGGTGATATCAAAGTGTAAACTGGATAGATTTTAAAGATAAGAGTGGTGGGGACAGTAACAAACTGGAGAGTGCATGCCCTGCCTAAAGACAATCACATTAAAACTTCTAGAAAACAAAGCTAGAAAAACCTCCAGATTAGTTTACCTCTGATGCTCCATACTCTTCTTTTCATAGATAAGAAAGTGTTTGGATAAAGTCTGAAAGTTGTTAATAGCAGAACTGGAACTGAAACTCAAATCTTTTTTTCTCAGTCTGGGGCTCTTCCCATTCTTCCACGTAGATGATTAACTGTTAGACTGGAAAATAATGGAATATAAAGTGTTTCAGTTTTACTGTAGATTCACTTCATATCTGCTATGTTTTTATCCTGATAATTATAGGCCATGCCAAAGCTCAGGTTTGAAATTTATGGGCAGGTAAGAGCAATGAAAGACAAACTTGAAATTTTTCTTCTCCCTAATCTCTCACACTCTCTAGCATTCCACATTTCGAGGAATCAATTATTAATTACTTGGCATATAATTTCTTCTTTTTCTGTCTTTCTAGTGGACTTGTTCTGCCTGTCTGGAAGGCCATGGAGAACCTGGGAATCAAGCCAAGTGCTGCTTTCTGGATTTTATCAGGATTTTTTTGGCAGACATCTGTGAAGTGGTTGAGAAGTCTGTACCTGATTTATATTTGCTTTTGCTTCCGTGCTCTGTGGTTGTCAACAGGTACCATTTTCTTTATATATTTAAGATTTTTTTTTAAAGGGTACTGTGTATGAGTTCTTCAGTTCATTTTAAATGCTAGGAGCCAGGAAAGCAATCTGCTTATTGACAGAAATAGTCATCCTTTTGGTGGACACTTAGTTTGTTGAGTTTGTTTGTTGTCTTAGAACCAAAATTTAAATCTTAAGGGAGAACTGGCATGAGCATGATAATTTTCATATTTGATGAAGATGTAATGAAAAGAAAAAGGTTTCAAAGTTAGACAGAGCTGGGTCCTGGAGCTGGATGTTTCTTTCCACTTAACTATAAAACTTTGAGCAAGTTACCTACTGTCTGTTAGGAAGGATAAGACCCACCTCAAAACTTGATTTAAAAGAGTATACTTCAATTTAAAAATACAAAAAAAAAGATAATATAAGTAAAGTGTGTAGCACAGTGCTCTAAACATGGATGCTTAGTAAATGATATTTTGTTTTCTTTCCTGAAGAGATAAACACTCTACACTTAGAGGGAGAATTTGTTCCTTGCTTTTTCCATAGAAAGGGATTATGCTGATAGATTTTTATAAAATATGCTTTCCTCTTAGAGATTATTTCACCAGTCTTGAACCTCTTGCCAGGAAAAATTGCCAAGAAGGCTAAATTTCAAAGGATATCCTTTTTTTCCTTTTGGTTCTTTTTTTGACATTGTTCCTTTCAGAGTATGGAATGTGTGAAAATAGCAATTTGAGAATGACTTCTGAGTATGCTGCCTATTCTGGGCAGTGACCAAAAGACTTCTGTTGTAGAGACCACTGTCTGGGATAACTAAGCAGCCTTTTGCTCCTATGATTATAAAGATTTCTGTTGCTTTCCTAAAGGAATTGATGGCCATGATCTTGAGAATCAAGTAATTACTGTATTTAGCAATTTAGTAACATCAGCCTTGGGGTTTTTGTTGTTTTGCAGTGGTGGTCGATGATTGCTTAATTATAGCAGTGGAAATTGCAGTTGACAGAAAGCTGAGCTAAATGTTTTTCACCCAGATGATGCTTTGCTGGGACAGCTAACTATTTCAGGCCAACATTTTATGTAAGATCATTTGAATTAAATAAGTAACTGATTTAACACCATCAGAATAGGAAAATGACATTTTTTTAAGTGTACCTGTAACATACCAGACCCATGGTTATAAACATTACGTATCTCATTTAATCCTATGATAACCTTAAAATGAATAGGTTTATTTTGTAGATAAGGAAATTGAGGCTCATGATGGGAAAAGTACCAGGGTCACACAGCAAAAACATGACAGAGCCAGAAATCTAAATCCAGTTTTTTCCGTTTTAGAGCCTGCATTCTTTTTCTTCTGCTATGTTGCCTTCCAGCCACAGGTGATTTTTTTTTTGGAGGACCACAAGACTGATTTTGCCCTGAACCAGGATGAGCAGCTTGCTATTTGAGAGATTCTGGGTACAGGGGAAGAAGTAGCATTTCTGAGTGTTACTGTATTTTCCAAGCTAGTTGGTTAAACATATTATCATGGGCTCATTAGGCTAGTCTTTAGTATCTCTGGAGCTTGGTACTTAAAAACAGCACCCTAATGAACAGGTTGAGTGAAAAGGTGCAAAAGTGGTATTGTTAGTAGTGGTTCTTGTGGGAATTGGATTGTACTAGTTACATTTTAGAAAAGTTTGGAGCTTTTATCGTGGAAGAACCAAAAATCTTGTGTGTTGAAACTGAGGGAACATGCAAGCAACACATGACAGACAGATTTGTTATATATTTTAATTTATCAGAGCTTTTTTACATCAGTTAAAAAAAAAAAACACAATGTCCTAATAGTGAAAATGAATGAGACAAAGTATCATAAATAAGAAATTAAAATGACTTAATAGGCGTTTTAAAAAATGTGCATTCTCATTACTAAGCAAAGAGCTGCAGATTAAAATGAGAAATCCTTTTTAACCTATCGTATTGATGAAGATCAAAGTAAAAATATCTAGTGCTCCCAAGGGGTGTTGGGGAATTTGAACAGAGAACTTTTTGGCATAAAACATCCTAAGAAAGTTCATATTAGGGGGGAGGGTATAGCTCAAGTGGTAGAGCGCTTGCTTAGCATGCACGAGGTCCTGGGTTCAAGCCCCAGTACCTCCTCTAAAAATAAATAAACCTAGTTACCTCCCCCCACCAAAATAAAAAAAAAAAGAAAGTTCATATCCTTTGACCTGGTAATTCCCCTTTTAAGAATTTACCTCAAGGACATATTTAGATAGTTGTGAATGAGAGCATTCATCAACACTCATCTATTCTGTGTTACAAAACATTGCTACAACCTGTCCCACAATAGGAGTGTAGTGAAATTATGGTATGTCCACGTGGTGGAATATTACATGATCTCAAAACTCACATTTTAGAAGAATAAGTACATGGGAAGTTCTCCTAATTTTAAGTGGAAAAGCAGGAATACAACTGCATATTCAGATTCAAAATTGGTGTTGATTTTGTGAAAAGAAAAAAATGTATATAATAGAAAGTCTAAAACAAGATATATAAGTAAATGTTTATTTATTTTTTTGATTAGTGGAATTATCTCTTTATACTTTTCTGTGCTTTCCAGGGTACATATTAACACTTGATAAGGAGAAAAAACCTACCTGAAAAAGCAACACGATTGTAGCAAAAACCTATTGTTGGTAGCTTGAGTCAATATTTCTCTGCTCATGAGTTTGTTGTTTTACATGTTTACATGAACTCATGTAAGTTTTCCTTGATAAAATACATTCTTGACTGTTTGCTGCTGTTATTTAGCTCATGGATTATAGAAATTATTCCTGAAAAACTAACCAAAATAAAGAATCTGTCCAGTTATCCCCATTCCTGTTTACCACTTAGCAGTTTCTTCATACCTGGGAGAGTGACAGATACCCACTGACTTATGTATAGTGGGCTTCTTTTTTATTTCAGCTTTGAGTTCAGTGTTAGAGCCCATTGCTAGAAAGAAGTGATTATAATTTGTCTGATAAAAGATGCTCTGTGTTTTCCTTGTGGGCCGTTGGATCACTATTTTTCTACTTAATGTTAATTATTAAATGGCTTAAAAAACAGCATTTTGGATCTGGGGATTATCAGTATCTGGAGACAAACGTGAAGTGACCCCAAGAATTTGGAAATTCCTGAAATAGATTTTCAGCTTCTTGAGAGCAGAGATTTTGCCTGTTTTGCTTAAGCCAGCTATTCCTAGCAAGTACCAAGGGCTTGGCACATAGTAGATGCACCATAAAAATATTTGTTGACTGAATAATGAATTAGCAAAGGGGATTGTCTTTTGAGAATTAAATGTTAAAATCAACACAATCTGTCATTTGAGAGTTTGAAAGTTAAAGCTTCATTTAAAATGAGCACAATCCGAGCAGAGGTATGTAAAGGTACTTTAAGGAGACATAATGCCTTTGAGAACAGCAAGATCTGATTAAAATATTCACAAACATATGAACAGATCTAAAGAAAGAATGTGTACATCTGAAGAGCTGTGTGTGCACCAACATGTGAGCGGGAACCAGCCTTGGAGATCCCAACCAAGGAGAGTCATAGAGGCCAATAATGTACTCCTAAAGCTAGCAAAAGGCTATGAAAACTTACTGTTGTTCCCTTGTTTCTGGGAAGTAGATTACAGAGTTAGTTAATAAGTATTTTGAATACAGAGAAAAAGTATTCAATTCAGAACCAGTTTTTGAGAACTTATTAGGAGTCTGTCCTAGGCTAGGCACGAGGGTGATAAAGATGAGTACAACACAATTCCTGCCCTGGGAGAACTCCCAGTTTAATGAAGGAGGTAGATCTATAAATCCTGTGATGTGGTAAGTGAAAAGACAGAGAGAGGCAGTGCCCCGTACGTGCTGCACCCAGAGAAGCATTCAGCTCAGAGAGGAAGGGGAAGAACTGAGGAGTGCTCTCCAGAGAAGCTGATGCCTGAACAGAATTTTGAAAGGTGAATTCAGAGGGTTTGAAGGGTATTCCCAGGCAGTGGGAATGCAAGAGCAAGAGCACAGAATTGTGAAACAGCTTGGAGAAAACTCTATAAGCAGTTTAGTGCTGCTGGAATACAGAGCACAGCTGGAACAGCAACTCCTGAAGAGGTAGATGGTAGCCAGGTCATGAAGAAGCCTGTATGCCATGCGAAGAAGCCTTGATTTTAATCTTTAAAAGCATGTGGTTTACACATTTTCTTGATTATGCACTCACATCCATAAAAAAAGTTGAAGATGTACCCCAATATATGGCTGTTTCCCCATTATAATAAGCATCACTGTACTAATGTCCTATGTATATGAGAGATAACAAAAACAAAACCTTAAAAGAATCAACAAAAAAATATATAAATAGTTTTAGTTTTTTTTCCAGACCCCAGTGATTTGTCTTGTGTACCTCTGGTAAGCTAACGTTCTGTTTCAGAGATCATTGCCTTAGGAAATTGGGACCTATTGAAAATTTTTAAGTAGAAGAATAATACTGGTAAATTTCTAGATAATTTTTGCTGGAATATAGAAGAATGATAATGGTGGGGATGAGAGGAAGATGGAAAGGGAGGGAGGTCAGGGCTAGAGGTAAGGAAGTCTGTTAGGAAGCTAATGAAATAGTAGTCCAGGAGAAAATTGATGAGGCTCTGTCTTCAAGGAACCTCTCTCATTAAAGAGAGTAATTTCACTTAATACAAATCAGTAGATGTAGGGCTAAATAGTTGGGTAGGATTTAGGAGTTCTGTAGTAAGAGATTAGAGGAGGTTTTTGTTTTTTTTTAAATTGAGATTTAATATCACTGTTTAATTCCAGAAATTCTCTTCACCCTCTAATAAAAGAAACTTCATACCCATTAGTAGTCACTCCCTATTCCTCCCTCTCCCTAGCTTCTGGAAATCACTCATCTGACTTTCTGACTCTGTGGATTTGCCTATGAAGGACATTTAATATAAATGGATTCCTACAGTATGTGGCCTTTTATGTCCAGCTTCTTTCATTTAGTGTA